GAAAGAGGAATAGAGAAGGAAGAAGTCCCAATAGAGAAGACATTGGTGAGATTTACATGAAAGATGAGATTTTGAGCTGTTTTTAGCGGGATAGATGGGGTGTTGGTTGGTTTTCGGCGAGAAGATGATGGCGGGAGGTAGAGGACGAGTGAGGAGGAGGGGTGTGGGCGGGAGTTTAAATAGGAAGTGATGAACATGCGCTTGCATATTAATTAACCTTAGAAGTTAACCATAGTTAAGTTGATATGACTGATTTGCCCCTCACTTGAGTTTGCTTTGAGGGGATCCTTAACCCTGGAGTAGGGTCCAGCTGTCCCTCGTGCTTCGTCTCCACTTTTAAGCACTAATTAGATTTAATTAAAACAAAATTAGACCATTAAGGTATTTATCTTAGGGGCATTTACCTGCATACCATCCAAGCCTTATGTAATTACAGATATAGCACCTACATTTTGCTGATTTCCATGCATAGGTAAGGACCGTAAGGTGCTATTTATGTAAAAGAGAAGTTAAAGAGTTACATATGTAAATACATAGACAAAAACGTTTTGCAGAGAAAAATAGGAAAGACTACAACAGAGAACAACTAGAATGCGTAGCCATCCATTCATGATATGAATTCCCTGTTTATAGAAATAAGTCTCAGTCATACAAAGTTACAGATCTTTTCCCTTATAATTAGTCTTCAAAGGAATATTATAGTAATTATAAAGATATTTAAAAATAATAAAACTGAAAGATTAATATTGGCCGGTAAGAAATTCATTGGCAGCTCGCACCACCTTGACTCCATCAGTACTTGATCCGAAGATAAGTAATCTACTGATTGGCTTTAGGGCCAATTATCATCCTGTAAGAAATCCTCTGACATATTCTCCCGGTCGCTCGATCCAAACATCTCCCTTGCTAGCATACAATCGATCGATCGCCCACCGTGTAGATCTAATCGGTCGCACCATCCTCTTGAGCCGTCCGTCTGCCATGAGATTCATGGTGATATATTTTTCATATCAACCGTACAAATAATAATAAAAAACAAAGTTGGTGGAAACAACACATGCATTCTGCTATGTCTGTGCGCTCTCTTATCCACATTTGTCCCTAAATTACAAATTAAACCTTGATCTCAGCTATTTGCAAAAAAAAAAAAAAAAACAATTAAACTTCTTCAGCTAATTACAATCAATCAACAGCATTTAGTGATATTATTTAGAAGGTATTGTCAATTCCAACAGAGATTTGACAAATAATTCAGATTGATTTAGATTTTGTAGTCAAATAGGTCCAATTTGCATGAATTTGATTGAACGACACATTCATTATGAAAATATCTTTTCTATTTATTAAAATGGATATAATAAATTCATAATTAATATATATTTGTCATTATCATATTTGGAAGTAATAATATTTGTACTATAAATTAATATATAAATTAAAAATAATGGATTATATTAATTAAGAAAAAAAATATATAATTCTTTAATTTCATTTCCAACCATTGCTTAATGCGCCAGACATAATAAACCACTAATCTTCAGCCTCAAATAAATCATGATCTTTTATTTTTGGGGGGATTTGCATATATACCATCAAATTCCTATGTATTTACATTTCTAACATCCAATTCCTACGTATTTGCATGCATGAATAAGATTGTATGCACGTAAAAGTTAAAACTTAGAACTAGATATGCAAATACATAAGAATTGAGTCTTTTTTCTTAAATTTCTTTACTGCAAACTTAATTTAAATCATGATAACGATAAGATCTGATTTTTTTTTCTTAATGCTTTGCAAATTAAATTTATTTGCGAAGTGCATTGTTTGCTAGACTCCACCAATTAAAGCTTATGAAGCCATCTCTAATGCCTAATATTTTTTTTTGTATTTAAATTTGCACTATATAACTCATATCAGTAAATAATGTGATTAGAAATATGGCTGTAAACGAGCCGAGCTTGAGCGAGCTCAGTCTTGGCTCGTTCAAAATAGCTCGTGTTCGAAATTGGCTCGTGAACAGTGTGTTCGTGTTCAGCTCGATTTAAATATTCATGTTCATGTTCGGCTCGAAATTAGCTCGTTAAACTAAAATAATGCCTAATATTTTTTTTTGTAATTAAATTTGCACTATATAACTCATATTTGTAAATAATGTGATTAGAAATTACATTATTAGTCATTCTTAACAGAAATGGACACAAGCTATGCTGTCTAAATTACATTATATTAATGAAAAAGATTAGGAGATAATGGGATTTACTAATTTTCATATAATTATAATTAAAAAAATATTATTCTTATCATTTTTTTTTCTTTTATTATTGTCATGAACATATCATGATATAGAAAGGAAAAAGTCCTTCATAAAATTAGTTTGCAAATGCACCCTGCATGCCCAAAGTGTCATATAGTATGAGTGGACAATATAATGTGATACCAAAGAAGTCTGTGACTATTTACGTGAGATCATTTTGGTGTAAGAGTTTATAGAAATGTCAAAATAGTCTTCAATTATTTTAAATTGGCTATAATAATCCAACAATGTGTTATTTCTGCCATACTTTAAAGAGTTTGACGACTATTTTGAGACTTCTATAAAACAAACTCCGATATTAAAACGACCCACGTAAATAATCAGGAACCATATTGATGACTATTTTGAAACTTTATATATGTTAAAGTTGCGCATAATATCTCGAAAAAGTGAATTGTGGAAATCCATATCTTTGTAATGCATTTTCTTTGGTGGATTGAGCAGTTTAGAAGTGGAAAGATTAAGACAAAGAAATATTATTAAGAATTTGGATTAAGAAGTGCTTGCTTTTCTAAGAGTCTATAGAGACATGTTTTTTACCTAATGATTCTTAATTAAACCCCCACTCTTCCTCTATTTTATATTCCATAACAATGAACTAATCTCACAGAAGAATGAGGACATTTAGGTGACAATTATATACCAATCAATACTTGTGTATTTACATATTTAATTAACACCTAAATTTTAATTTTTAGATTTATGCCACCAACTGTACATGAAAATGTATATTTTATTTTTTTAAATTTAAAATAGTTGTGTATTTCTATGTGACATGAAAGATTTGGGTGGTATTATAAAATAGTAAACTTTAGATATTAGATATATAAATACATAAGAGTGGTGTTATGTATCTAAATGCCTCATATTCTATTATGTCAAACAGAAGGTGTGTATTCAATTAGGATACTGCGGGCACCGGTCATTTGTGTGTTGTATTTTGGTGATGTCCTGGTCATTTGGGATAGCGGCGTGGCACGCCGTTGCTATTTTTGTTGTTTGAATATATTATTTTCGTGATATTTTGTTAAACTTGGCGTGTTTTGCATTTTATATCCCGCATCGGGTTAAGGGTCTATTTTGGGCAGCTACAATAGTTTGAAAAGCTATTGTGTAACAGTAGTGCGAGGAAGCTGGTGCGGGAAAGTTATGTCTCTTTATTTAGTTCAATTGTGCAACAATTGTTCTACAACTGTTTATGAGCATAAGACATCTTTGTCCCTGTATTTTTGTGATATTTGTAAGACAATCATTTCATACGTAATAACTCATACATAAAAGTATAAATTACATTCAAAATACTAAAAAATAGACCATTTCAAATATTACATCCAGTGAGTGACTTCTCACTTAACAGTGAGTAACATAACAATCAAAATAATATATATATATATATATATAATATATATAAATTTATATTATCAAAATATTAATTTTGAAATTAAGATGATCAATTCTATGAGAGTAACTTTTTCTTCAAAGATACTTTCAATGTCTAGCCACCATCTGTGACAGAAGAACAACATATGTATAACTTCTCCCAAAAAATAAACCAACACTAACATAGAACACTAAATTCATAAAGTAACATTATTTCATCTTCCCACACTCCTAACAGAGAATACCAACTCCCGAAAAACAACTACAAAACCACAACATGCATAACTTCTCATATAGAACAAACCAACACCAACAGAGAACACCAAATCCATACTAAATACAGAGAAACACAAAGAAGAACAGAAATCATAGAAAACCACATATGGATGTCCACTTAGAGCTTCAAAACAATGACAAATGCATGAAAAATTAAAGGGCATAAAACGCCAAACCAACACAGACGGAAATGCAAAAGCCAAACCAAGAAAAATCTCATAACTGAAAGCCAAATATGCATATCATATCACAAAATTGAAGAAACTATTCCAAGATTAAACAGAGTAGAGAAGAGAGTTCGAAGATCGAATATACCTCAAGATTGATTTGAAGAGTGATGATCGAAGGTACCAACGTGGAAACATATGCATATCGAGAGAGAAGAGCTCGAGTTAGGGCAATGAGCTTCTCTTGATAGGGCACAACGCACCGAGGGCATCAGAGGAGCTAAGGGGTAATGTCAGTAATGTCCTTTCAAAAAAACACGGATCGCGGGTGTTACTGGTCGTTTGGGACTGTGGTGCGACAACTATATTTAGGCATAATTTTTTAAAATAAATTAGTTTATTTTTAAAACTATTCAAAATATCTAAAAATAATTTGAATTTTTTTAAAAATAATTAAATATATTATAACATATTAAATATGTGTTATTTCAAGTAAAAATATTTATAAAATTAAAAAAAAAATGATGCTAAAGAAGAGTCCCCGGATAAATCAATAAATAAATAAAAGATGAAAATGAGATTGACAAAAGCTCTAGAAAGTCAAAGAATAAATTGTTATTTTTTTTTTTTTAAGAAAATTCAAATTACGGTAATATTATTTTGATTACTTTAATTTCTTTTCTTTTCTATTATAATATGATACAATTTATCATTATATGAATGTAATCGTATGCATTTCATATTCATACATCACAACGTCATACTAGTGCCATATTATGTCCCGTGTTCGTATGCATGTATTGAAGGTTAGATTGATAACAACATATAAAGATTGCCTCAA